CGACCTCACTGTGCCCAATGCGCTGCTCCTAATGCGATCTCGCATTGTGCGCAATGCGCTGCTCCTAATGCGGCCTCACTGTGCCCAATGCACTGCTCCTAATGCGGCCTCACTGTGCGTAATGCGCTGCTCCTAATGCGCTGCGCGCAATGAGACTTTTAGGCTACCAACCCCTCTCCTTCTAGTGGCCTAATCGTACTATAGCAGTGTTTCCCAACCCGATCGTTTGAATGAGTCAGCAACGAGCCAGAAATTTAATGCTGGTCGCAAACGTTTTTGCGAAACTTAACTATCAGCCAAGTTACGATTTACGTTAGAAATTACATAAAACATAATAAGCAAGTTTATTCACATAACATTAATCGAGTCAATAATTACTGGTTACTAAGTAGGGCTGCTCATATATTCGAAAATTCAACTATTAGAATATAAATTTACTATTCGAAAATTTGGTAACAAGTGACGCGACGGGTCACTTGCGCGCCGCTTAATCAAACGATCGGATTTCCCAATTCATTTGCGGATTTCCGACGAAAACACGAGTCTGCACACGCTTCGATAGATACCTAAATGGTGTTTCGCGAGTTCGAACAACGAGGAATAGATTTTTTTTCTGGTGCTAAGTGTCAATGGTGGCAACCCAAATTTTTTAAATTGAAAAGCGGCAATACTAAAAATAAAACGGAGAACACCTCAAGTTTTGTTTTATGATGGTCCGCGATTAAAAACGCTTTTTTAGACACCCCGAATCGCAAAATTTCGGGTGCTGAGGTAGTATACGTACCAGGGCATTTTCCCTCAGAATTCCTTGGATTTTCTCTCAAGATTCTTTGGATTTTTCCTCAGGATGCCTCCACATTGGTACGAACAGCTCAGATTTGTCGAATTCGCAGAAATACGAATGAAAACAAAATATAATCAGGCACTTTCACGCATTTTTGTGTCCACGCATTATCATGATATTTTCTGAGTAGTATTGCTTTTATTTCGTCAACACGTCCGCAGATTAAAATGATCACAATTAAATTAATGATAAAGCAAGGCGATGAATATGTATTTTTAATTCACTGATATACTTCAAATATAGTTTTAATTCTTTTATTTAAGTGCTAAATCAAGTTGTACTTTCTGGAAATTTATAGCAGATAGTAGGATTTTTCTAACGGCGATAACAAATTCGCAAGATCGCAAAAAATATGTATCCAAACTAAATATAATCGGGCAATATATTTTCACATCATCATAGTCCCAGATTGCCTTGCCATTTTAAACCAGTAATGCTTTCATCTTGTCGTAAATCGAAGCAACCGCGAGTTTCCATGAACACAATTAAATTGAAATAGAAGGACATTTTAAATTCTCGTCGTCGTCATTGGATTGAATATTGTGCGACAGAAAAGGCCATTTTATACACTAAAAAATTCGGCTTTTTCAACGAACGCGTAATTGCGGCGGATTTCGGATTTTGAAATTCGTTAAAGTTCTGTTGTGTTTGGTTTTATTGCTTTTCACACAGAGTACGCTTGCAATAAACGCACATTGAGTCCGCAAAGGTTTTCGCCGGTGAGAAAATAGTCCGCGACCAAAAAATGTTGGGAAACGCTGTACTATAGTCTGGCAGCCGAGACGCGTTATGAATCATCAAGCATCAATGTTCTTGTTTAAGCCCGTAACAATGACCAATCAGCAATATATAGGTCAACAACAACCTAACAATTTCAAAATATTTAGCCGCAGAGACACATTTTTTTGTTCGGACATATATTGCCTCGTTTTCGTGCTTTTACGTGTTATTTGTTTTCAGTTGTGTTTCCGAAAACTTAATTGTCATTACCAGTATGTCTTTTGATCCATTGGGCTCAATCTTGTTTTTCAGACATAAGGTTTTCATAACTCGTGATTATTCATCTTGGGGTTATTTCCAGTCATTTCAACGTGGGTGTGGAGTTTGCATCCTTGAGCGGGAAAATTAGGATCAAAGTTGATTAAGCAAGCACCTAATTGTTCTGTAAGACAACGTGACAAGATTGCCGCCACTATAGCGAATGTGCGGCATAACTATGGATTTAATGTTATTTAACTCATTTGTATGATTAGTATGTGAATTCATTGAATAGGTCAATGCTCAATTTCCCCGATTATGATTTATCCTAATTAATCCTAAGTCCTAGCAGTGCCTCTTTGTATCGACAACTTTTCAATATACGAACATTGGAATTACAATCTACTGTGTGCTTATTGACCTCTGAAATGAGTCAGTTAACGAAGGTATAAGGACACGCAAATAAGGGCATTCTCCGCTATACCACCACAATAAGTCACATGGAAATGACATAGCTCAAATTCCGATTTTATAATCAGTTTTATTTATTTTATTTTTATCAATTATTTTATTGTCTATTGCTGATTATGGAGTGGAAATAAACTTATACTTATACTCAACTTCTGAACTTAGGAATTTAATTGAGTCGCTTCAAGCTACATGCTTGTTTTGTAGCTACAATAGCCTACTTGACTAGGGACAGCTAGGCGGTATAATTTGCAACCAATTTCAATTAGTATTATATATAAAATCGATCTTGGTGTTTTTTCACAAATTTGAAAACCTCGCACGAGGGCCTTACAACACAGTGGTTCCCAACTTTTTTTCAAGCGACACAAATCTTGTAAAAATGAATCCTGTAAAATCTCGCAACCTAAAAGTATTCACAAATACTAAACGACGTGTAGGGCTTCCATGGCCACGATATTGAATTACAAATAAATAAAAACTTTCATATAACAATTTATTCCTCATTATTGTTTCAGCATAATTAATTGTTTGCCATCGGCGATTTTTTGAAATCGTGGCGTGGCTTCACCAAGTGAAATAGATGCTTCAAAGTTTTCATGCTATGGCCTATGATAGCCTACTTCCCGCACATACAATTACTATTGAGCAACACCTCAGTATCACATACAAAATAAACAATAAAATTTACTAGAAAATAAAATCAATAACATTTAGCCCTGTGTTGTTAAAACAAGCGACCCAAAAGAATTTTTTGGCGACAAACTTTTGGTCGCCCAATAGGCTGGAAAAGACTCTTTTAATATACACGTAGGATATACGGAAAAGCTGCGTATAATGAAAAACCGCTCCATGACCTCCCAGGAAGGACGGGGGACCCGTTAGAGAAACCCTGTTATAAACTAAAAGAGAAGGCCGTGATCCACTTGCTTGTTTCATTTGCGTCTCTATAATTCTAGCAACAACAAAGAATTTCACGAGCACGGGGTCTCGCTTTTATTATTTCTTTATGTTATCAGAGATGGATAACATACGGGTGATATAAGTTATTCCGACTACATCACTACATGATCATATTTTGCTATATTTTGTATGTACCTTTCTTGGACGGAGCCCCAACAGATCCAACTACAAACTATGTTAGAAAGAGAAGACGCCAAAAAAAGTTCCACAGACTTGGTCAAAATATGTATTATTTACGATCGATAAACAGTTGCACCAAAAAGCATTACTTGTAATATACTAATATGATAAAACAAAGATCAATTCGGCGAAATCTACTTAAGGCTTGGTGAATATGGTGATATGCATCTGTTATTGAGTTTAGGTTTCGGAACTTTAATGACAGAGTAATTGTGGATGTTTGGATGCTTTGAAAACGTTGGGTGGAAAAAAGTGCCCACAAAATGTCAAGGTTTGAGATCGCTAGTATAAAAAATACGTCACCCTGCTATCTCCAAGCGATACATTACCACAGGCGGTCTCCGGAAGATATAGCTTGCACTATCTGCAAGAAGTAAAATGCGAAGATGAAATTCATCGTATTACGACACCAGTGTTAATGATTCTTAGATATATAACACTGGAATTACCCACTGATGTTTTATTGCTATTTCTTTGAAGAAAGTAATACAGGACATAACTTTCAATATTATGCAATTAATCAATCTTGTTGTAGACTAAATCAGGGCTACTCAACTGGCGGACAGTGGTCCGAATCCGGACATTTCGACCATTTAATTTGGACCGCGTTTGCTTGTTTATTTTGGCAGCAAAAGCATCGTTTGGTAGTTTAGATGATTTTGATACAATTTAAATACACAGCTATACAGTTTGTCGTACTGGTACCAATACGCGACATTTGTGTCTATATTTGCGAGCCATCATCATTTGACGTTTCGTTTATTTAATGAAAAAAATATTCCGTATCCGGACCCCAGTAATTTTAAAGTTTTCTAGACGGACTTTTGGTGAAAATACTTGAGTAGCCCTGGACTAAATATCCAAAAATGGCCAGTTTCAAACTTTTCGCCTCTTGTTTTATCGTTCATAGACGAGTGAAACTTGATACTCAAGCGAAACTGCGCACCACGTATAACCGAAGCAATCACGAAAACGCGTCCCAGTGATCAAAGCGTTTGATTTAACTGTGTTGGCATGGCAGGTACACATCTCGAGTTTACATACTAATCATCATCAGAAAGATGTGATTTACAACTTACAACTAACTGGATATTTAAAACGATTTGGAAATGTTTCTTTGCAATGAACTTTCAACTTTTTAATAAATGTAGCAGAGAGTATTGTTAATTCAAAGCGTTCGACCAGAGACATTGCACAAGATATAACATTTATGGCTCGACACTCACATTTGTTGAACGAAACCATCGTTACGCAATTGTGCTTGCATCATGTAAAATATATTACGATCGGATGACTTTTCATTTCCACCAGTAGCAGTCGTAGTTTTAAAATTATTGGACATTGGACACGAAATGTTCACAGGGACAGTTTTGTTAAAATGTCATTTTTAGTCTCGCTGTTATGTGATGGACCTATCCGATCGTCAAAATTTTCGGTACTTGAAGTCGCCGGAAGGCTATTTTTAAACACTATTTTCTCTGAAATCTATGGGACGCGATATTCCGCCCCAACTTTTTGTTTCACCTGGCATGCTTCCATCCAACCAGTAATTCAATAGAAAAAAAACTAATATTCTGACAAAAATATATTAGCTAAAAGGTATAGTTTGTCAACATAGAACAGGATATTACATAAAGCCACTAGACGGCAATCTGGCCAATCAAAGAACAGAATTAATAGCACTTATTTCCGTCAGACAAGAAAAGATTGAAACGATTAAAATAAAACTCTAAAAGATGCAGTACCCTGCCACTACAAACCATTTCCATCCTGGGAGATGCAAGATGCTTGCTGTAATGGGTATCAATTTTCTCAATCAGTTCCCATGTATGAACTTTCGAAGAATTTGTTAAACTAAAAGTACCATAAACAAAGCTATCGTTGATTCTAAATATGCAGAACAGATAACCAAATATCAAAAATGCACTGATGGAAGAAAATGCAAGGCTTTTGATTCCAATCTAAGGAAATAATGTGCATAACTTTTTGTTGTCTCAAAACAAATCATATGTTTCGAATGGTATGAAAACTGTACAACAGGACCTCCATGACTCATATGGTGTGTGAAGCTTCTGCCTGCAAAAATATTCAATCAGGGTTTTCCAAGGACTGAATCGATCATGCATAACTGAAGTTCTAGTGTGGAAGTCACTAAAAAAAAAATTGTCTTCAAATTTTTCTAATAATCAAAATTCAGTTCTGCTTCGAATCATCCAATCAAAGAGTTTCATAGAGTGTAGTGTGTAGTGTAGTGTGAAATGCGAGTGGGCAATAAATATGAGCATTCTGGCGACAAAATATCACAGATTTCAGTTTCATCTCATTAGTAGAGCTGTTAATAAAGATATTGCACTCATAGCAAAATCACACTAAGACAATACTGAATGGCATAAATATAATATAAATGAAATTAGTATGTTAGGAAAACAATTGCACTTGCCTAACTGACCTAGGATATATAACAAGATAACCCAATGCAAAACATAAAAACAAGACCAGCATGATAACCAAAAGTAAGCAGACTACTGAAATTCGGTAATTTTGTTGATAAATCCCGAGCAATCCATTTTATATTATGTTCATCACATCATACTAAAATTGATATAAATACAACCAGGTCAGAGTTAATCAAGTCTCATATTTTTTCAATATACAGAGCACCTTGGACATCAGTAAATGACAACTAGATTTATCCCACCAATCTGTCGGTTAGGATATTCTAATTGTCAAGTATATTATGCCACAGCAGTCAATTAAATAGAGATTCTACATCAAACAAACAAGTAGTAACAAATGACAGAGGAACTGAAAAACTAATTTTCCATGCAAATGAAACAACTCGAATATCCACCAAAATGTTTAAATAATAATAAAATCTAATGGTATGGAATAGCACCAAAATATATCATATGCATGATACTGCCGTATTCTTTCAAACCCTGAAATAGTGACTGGCGATAAAACTTAAGAACAAGTAATTAAATTGGAAAATGAAATTGCATTAGTGTTGTATAACTGTGAGGAAATGCGTAGTATGCAAATATGTTGGGTTTCTTGTAGTGGAATCATCTATGACTCGCATCCTGACCTAAACAACAAGTACCGGTATATGTCTCCAAATGACAGGATGAGATGGACCGAAAACAGCATGTGCTGCATTTTTACATTTCTGATCATACATCATCTTCTTCCTGATTTTATTGATGATTTAACAACTTTCTTCGTGGAAGGTTTCGAACCGAACCATGATGTCTGTAAGGAGTAAGTAAACAAAAAATTTTCGAACACAGATTTAAAAATAAATAAAGTGAAAACATACATATATATCCCTTATGAATCACAAAGTAAAAAAAATTAGTGAACGCTGATAATAAAATAAAATGAATATTAACGATTCAAACGAATCAACTTATAGATGTGATGAAAGGCACATGATGCTGGCTCTTCGGAACGCGCCAGCTGTCAAACATCAGATTACCCAGTGCGGACTCGAAGAAAAGGACAAAAATGAAAGAGAGTACTTCTCACCGTCATAAAGCGGTTCACATAACCACTTCCCACTCCAAGTCCAAGCATCTGAAACAAGTAACTGGTCAACTATTCCCATACATGACATGAACTGGTAATTAAATTCGAGGCCGCAGTTTATATTATGATTACTTTCCTATCCATGTTTTCATTAACTCACCCTGTATTCAAATATATCCCGTACAAATTTTTCTTCATCTTTATTGAAACTTAGCAACATAGACATCGCTTTGATAAGTTGCTGAGCCTGGGCATAAGAAATATTAAAAGATTGCCAAAAAAATCAGTACAATATACTCCCAATTAAAATATGCTGAATAGCTTGTAACTCGATGAACGAGTAAAAGCCAAAAATTTGTTTCCATGGTATGCTTCAGTAATACACTACCAAATGTCAGTTTCAAATGAAAAAGAAAATGGTGAGAGGCGAAAAGGTTGCTAATTCGATCATGATTTCATTACAATTTGATGGACAATAAATCAAGCTGACCTAAATGCTGTGGATATGAAATCAATGAATAGCTTTTGACAGATGAGCCCACAGACTGTGTGTTAGCCTTGCTGGTACTCATGTAGTGTGTGTACCAGGTTAGGGTTAGGCCATAATTAGGCTTCCCGCTGCTTGTCAACAGGGAACCTATTGTATTCCTGTGTTTTATTATTATTATTATTTATTTATTATTATTATTATTTATTTTTATTATTTTTTTTTCAAATTGGTCTTACAAACTTGAAATTCACCTCAAATGTGCAGAAGTTCTCAGCTAGCAATAAAATGCAAATTTTATGCATGACTGACCACGCTTTCACGCTCCAGTGAGCAAAACGCGTCTTCAGTTTTTTTGCGATTTCTCAAAATTGATACATGCTATTGGGTTGAAATTCATAACAATGATTAATGGACATGTTCCGGATACGCTATGTCAAGGATACGCATGATTGACCTCGGCGATACGCTCCAGTGAGCAATATAGGATTTTACATTTTCATCTTCTTCTCGAGAACGACACTACTTAGAGATTTGAAATTTACATCACATGCAGATAATAAGTCCCCCATCATAAATTGCAAATTGACTGACTGACCACGCATGACTGACCACGCTTTCACGCTCCAGTGAGCAAAACGCGTCTTCAGTTTTTTTTACGCGGGAAGCCTGTTAAAGATGCACGCAGCTCTAGTTTTATTCCGATTTTCCTTATTTTAGTTCTAGCACAGATTCAGAGACTGTCTGTGTTAGCCAATGAATATACTCTCTGCTCATAGGCCTCCATTCCTTTACACAACTCGAGGTAAAGTGAGCGAATAAAATTAGTTACCCCCATATTGGTACACACAGTTCTGGAGCGCCGTCTTGCCAAGGTAGAAAATGTCAGAATGAAGGTATAAGTTCTTGGCAAGACTCTCAAAAGGAGAAAACCAGCAAAAAAAATTAGAACAATCCGGATACAGACAAGTATGTCAGAAAACTGAAGAACAATGCTGTCAACTTACATAAGGCATGTTATAACCCAATCAGACAAATATACAGTGATTCTCTTTAATTAAATAGGTATACTATAAATTCACATACCTCGGATTGACTACATGATAAAAATGTCAAAATAACATGTTTTAAATATTTCACGGTTATTTCTCGTTGCTCAAGACTTAAACTTGGATCATCAATTGCTGTTGTACCTGAAACAACATGTGAAAATGTAAGACTATTTATGGTACTAATAACAAGTTGTTTGTAATAAAGTTGATATTACTGAACAACTCATTATTGATGATTATTACAGTATTGAAATTGATAATAATAATTAGTTGTTTCAGTCTAACTTGGCAATTATAAATCTCAGAACCCCCCCCCCCCCCATTGGAAAATTTCAGGCTACACCCCTGATACAAGTTTTACAAGTGATTGGTCAAATGTTTTTGGAAATGTGATTGATGATAAAACTGGATAGACCAGGCAAACTATTGTTTATTTAAGCTGATTTTGAATATAATACAAAAATTATTCCTTCCTGCTTTCCTGCTGAGTTTCCCCAGTCTCATTCATTCACTGTATAGGTTTGTACTTATCAAAAATTTCCCAGAAAATTATGCATTAGGATTGCTTCCTCCTTTAGTAATCTTGGGTGTGTGCAAATAATAGAATTTCACTCCATTTACACCACAAAATATATACCCTAAGTTTCAGAACAGTGGGACAAGCGTAGCACTGTGAGGCAGGTGAACTAAAAAGAGAACAAACGGGACACAATATTTTTAGGACAGATTAATTTTTGCTTGGGGGTTTGTTAAATCGCTCTCAGCACATTCAAACCACTCTAGTTATGATAACACTAACACCAAAGTAAAACATTTTCATCTATTTAGCTTCATTATTTGTGTGAGTGTAAAGGCAACATAATGAGTGAGTAATGATTCGTGGCATATTCGTATAGAGCAGGGGTTCCAAAACTTTTTTCAGGACGACCCCAAGGAGAATTTTCAAGCGTCCAGTGTGACCCCATGAAACTTTGCTCTTTCACTGGACTTTTGAGTTTGGTCATGTGGTGGTATTAAGTAAATTAGGCTAAAACCAAACAGTGATGCCACAATGAGCACGTACATTTTCTATAGCTTAAGCATAGAACGATGCTTATGGGCCTGTTTTACAGTAAGCCATGGTACAAACTGCTAAATTTAACATGGTTTGTCAAATCTTAGATAATTTGTACATCCATCCTCTACCATACCTCAGCGACCCCATGACCTGTTTGTGACCCTACCTACTTATCACTTCGACCCAATTTGGGGTTGCGCCCCCTGGTATAGAGAGTAGAGATGCTCAAAAATCAAGATAATAAAGTTTATATTACAATATTTGTACCTAAAGCAGTTAAATCTGGCACAGTGTCTTCTCCGTTAACAAAAGGAGTAGGTTCGCCAATACCATTTACTTGAGATTCCTTCTTTATAACTGCAGAAGAAGTGGACGTACCATTTGTTGCACTAGCCGACCTTTTATTCTGTAAATTACGCATAAAATTTATAACTTTTCTATTGATAAACCATGCTGATTGTGGTGCCTCACAGCCGCCACAGGGCATTGCGTGTTCAATGATGTTGATATAATAGTAGAGTAGGTGTTCCAAAAGTTTGTCTACCAATATGGAGGTAAGTAATTTTGTTCGCCTACTTTACATCAAGTGTAAAGGAACTGAAACCTATGGGCAGGGGGTATATTCACTTGGCTAACACAAACAGTCCCCAAACTCGTAATATAACTTAAATAAGGAAAATCCGAATAAAATTATAGCCCAACCCTAACCTGGTACACATACTATGGGAGTACCTAATAGTAAGCTGTTTTATAATACTAATATACGCTGTGTGAGTTCTACAAAATATAGTGGGACCAGAAGCAAAACAACTGCTGGACACAAGAGCCTAGTGGTTAAAGCATTAGATGTAACCATTTCGGCACTACAGGTTAAACATCCCAGTTTCAAATCCCATGCCACAATCTCACAAAGTTATGTTATAAATTGGGTAGGTAATGTAACAGGTAATAATCAGCAATTAAACTTGATATAAAAAAACTTTATTCAAGTTTATTATCAGTGCAATAAGAATTCTAATATATGAATGCATGCAAGCTTACTAATTCCTTATTTAATGCTTTTTTCAAATCATTCAATCTTTGCTGTTGCAGCTTAATAAACCGTTCTTTTTCTGCGACCTTTTCTTCAAACTTATTCCGTTCTGATCTCAATGTTGAAACTTCTTCAGTTTCTTCAGCATGATTGTTCTGAAATTGTCATGTTTTTATTTATAAAAAGAGATAACTTGAAGCACTGTAATTCGAATTGATGCCTTGTGATTCCTATAAAGTTAGATGTCGTGAACTCCAATCATAAAAAGTTATTACACAACAGAATCTCAAAATAAACCAAATTCCTTTTAAACTGATACCGGATTTTCTGTCTAATAAGCCAATTTCTGCTCCCAATTTTTTGGCCTGATTTTTCGAAGTTAGCATTTTAGCCAGCCCGGCTTATTTTTTTTCATGGTTTGCTTATTATTAGCTTTGGACCAGAAATACGAGAAGAGGGGGACAACAACATGCCTTCTCCGTTAGTTTTTATAAGTTGACGTTCTCACACTGTGAATCTGGCATATCTCAGCTGTGATTATTATATTTGTGCTAAATCGATAGAAATAGAGCACGCAATGGTGCTTGACAAATGATAATAAACAAAGGCAATGTATATCTTTCTATACCTTCCAATTTTTCAAATTTCAAAAAACTCCATTTTTGCATTTATTTTATATATTATTTTGTGTGTTTTCAACAGACTAGGTGGAGAAATATGATATAATGGAAAAAGTCTTTCACAAAACTCACCCTTAAACCTGCAATTTGTTGTTTACAATCCATTAACTCTTCTTCTCTGAGTTGCAATGAAGTCGTCATATGATTAACCTAAAATTTATTGAAAGTTACATTGATTGAACCAAGTGCTGGAAGTCATGGGAGTACAGTGAAAACTTACAAAATTAATTCGTTCTGGAATCTTAATAATCTTTCATTATTCGGAGCAATATTTTACAAAAAGACAATTCGTAAGTTGGGAATTTCATATTCGAGGTCTTTTATTAATGAAGGATCTACTGTACAATATTTTGTCTCTGCGGTTGGCTTAATACCTATAGTGTCAGCGATACGATACGATTACCATACGCAAAAAAAAACCTTTTGTATAGAAATTATGTAATGAACATAGAAGGAACGTAACCTTGTTGCAAATTAATACATCTGCTGTATCAAAGTTCGAACGATAAATTTGTGACAACTGACAACAGCAATGATAACAGTTTGAATAAACAGTAAAATAATATGTTAGGATTTTTATACTTTCGTATATGATATGTGCAAGTCTTATTTTTCATCTGTAGAAACAAGATGTCTTTTTCAACCAAGCAATATCACTTGTATTAATAATACCTGGAAGGGTTCTCAAGAAAAAATCTTACTTTTTCAGTTAATTGCTTTATGTTAGAATTATTTTCTCCATTTAAACTTTCATAATTTAACAATTCTTCGTTCTTTGTCGCTAATTCCTGTTTCAATAAATTGATTTCCGTTATTGATTCTTCTAATTTTCGTAATGTTGCTTCAAATTCTGTTTGCGTCGAAGAGAATTTGTCCTTGAAATCAGAAGACTCTGTATATAAATGCACAAGATTGAGAAATGCTGAATTTATAATGAGATTTCAACCTGAATGTATTCTACTGAATTGACATCTAAATTTTTATCTCGAAATTTTTCAAATAGCTGTCCAGTGTCCTTAATCATATCAACAATAGATTTTAACACAGACTATCTCAGCTTTTTCAAAGCATTATTCGTGCATCGAAGAAGAGCTAAAAATTCTCCAGAAAGACAGAATGATGGTCGATTTGGACTAATTCACACCGAAATTTTAGCATCATGACTCAACTTGTGAATGAAACCAAGTACTAAAAGTGCTTGAAAGTCTGAAAGCGGGTTGCTGAAGTAAACAAAGAAGTACATCAAGTTTCCCAAAACATCCGATTGAATATAACAAAGCATGTATGAATTATTTGAAAGACGTTGTAGGTATAACAGTTCGAAGATTTTTTTTAAATGTTGGTAAGAACAAATTGTTCCTAAATCGTTAAGATTCGAAGCACTGTGTTTTATTATTGTTCAATGGTTTTATTTTGTTTCCAAATTACTCTATTATCCCTTTTAAGGCACTGAATACACAACAACAACAAGAAATATCTACAGTGCTAAAATCACTAAGGAAAAATCAGGAAGGAAAACTTAAAAGCAATAACATATAGCGAAGTAATTATGAGAAATCAGTTGCACACAACTTGGTTAATCATAAACAGTATGAATCATTCACCTCTACTTATCGTGTTAAGTTTTTCTTCGGTTTCGCATAACTTTGTTTCAATTTTTTTATAACTTGTTTCCAGTTTATTGAATTTTTCTCTTGTTTCATCTCGTGATAGTCTAGTATCCTCAAGAGCACGAGCCATCTCTTCACTGATTCGATCTCTGTTTGAAATTTCTACCTGCGGAAATCATTCAATTACAACATCATGTAAGGATTGTTTGCTCAAGGCAGAGGAATAGAACTTCTTTATATAAGTTTGCTCAAAGCTAGGTCTCAGGACCTCAATTTAAAACAGAAACAGTACTGATGAACTGGATCATTGAAACAAGTATGAAACATGCTTTAATTTTTCAATTATTAAATTTCGCAGAAGCGCACACAAATTTAGGGAAATGAATCAAGTCACTGGGATATGAACTACTGACTAACTTACCAGTTTCGTTTGTATTTCATTTTCTAATTCTTCGATTTGATTTGAATATGACTGTACTGATATATTTCCATTTTCTTGTTGTTTTGCTAGCTCATCCTGAAATAGGATCAGTTTTTCTTTTCTATTGATCATAAAAAGGAAATCTTGGAATATCTACATAGACTCATGTATTATGAGCAAATTAGCTGATACAATTTTTCTGTATATTATAACATATCATATTGATACATGAATAATTGCAAATTGGTAATGAGTTAGTAAAATTTAATATGTAGGAATAATATAAGGTACTGTCCTAGAAACATGGTTCTAAAATACGATGATAGACTATTAAAATTTTATCTACTTTTGTAATAGTTGAGTCTAGTGGTAGTGGACCCCAGCTGGAAATCTATGGTTTCACAGAATGAACCTATGGGGGATCGACAAGCCTTCGCCCCAAGGGGTGACACAAGATCTCCGATTTGAATGAAAAAAAAAAAATTTTCCAATAAAGGATGAATAAAGTTCAACGAGAAATAATACTTCTAAAATAAATTTCTTTGTGGTTTTGATAAAAAGCATGGTTTCTATCAGAAAACAACTGTACATAACAATATTAACTGTTCCTAATATAGAGGGTCCACATACCAATAGAATCTATGGCACTGGAAAGGTTGGGGAATGGTTAGGCTAGGATGATATACCGATTTGATTAAATACAAAAATTTATTTCGATCTCAAACATGTTGTACTTCACCAGCACTGAATCGCAAAATAAGAGTGAAATATGTTTACCTCTAATCGTTTCACATTTCTCTCTGAGTCCGTATGACATTTGTGCAATTTATCAATCTGTTCCCGTAATTTCGTCTCTGATATTTTATATTTATTATTAAGTTTTTCATTGTTGTGCTCAAGCTTCGCTTTTTCAAGGTCATACTTTGTGGTCTATAATTAAAGAAGGATATAATCAGAGATTATATAAATCCCGCTCTGTCAGAAGTTGAGTGAGCACTCAACTAACAAGTAAACATTGTATGTGACAAGACTGAAATGGTTATTGAAGAAATACCATCTGGCAATGCAAATTTCATCAATAGTTATTCCAGTTTTCACTAATGGCGTTTGGACTATGCTTTCAGCAAACTTCAATTCCAAAGATTGGCAGAAGTACACAACTTTCTGAAATGTGACTGGGTGCACGTCCATCATGCAGTATTTTACTTTATGGAATGGAGTGTTTGTTTCATAGACATCCACATTCAAAAAATTTGGTAGTCCATTTCTTTTAGATTTCAAACATATAAATTGGCCAATTATGCAACAAAATCATGCCAAATTTGTTATAACAAATTTTAAATAACAAAGTGATTCCTATTGTGTAAAGACATCATAAGTCTACGAGTATCACTATTTGTTGCATGTTTATATTTTTGAGAGGTTGAACTGTGATAATATAATAGCTAAGTAAAACACTTCTAGAAATCGAATTTTACATTTATCGAAGTAAATTTGACTACAATTCAGTAAAATAAGATCAGGTAGTATAGGTACATAATAAATGCATATCCATTTGATACATAAAATTATAAATCTATAAATGAATTCAACTCGCATGAGTTATTGGACACAAAGTGGACCTATGAATCATTCTGCTAAATTGTTGTTCAACTTTTTGCTGATGTTGGGCGGATTGTTGTTGCGGAAAAGTAGCTTTTGCAAGTAATGGACCAATTAATTGCACATTTTTGGTACTTATAAATGAGAGAAGTCGTTAGAAAGCTAAAGACTTTTCAATATATTAAAATTCCCTCCTCCAAGTCTTAGCAGACCTGGTATTTCACCAAAAGTTAACTCTTTTACTTTGATTAAAGCGGAACACTTTTTTATTCTGTGGCACTTGACTGCCACAGTCAAGCTTGTCCACTGATAAGCTCTATTGTAAATGCTAAATTTATTATGAGTTATATTATTCGTACCTGTTCAATCAAGTCAGCGTCAAGTTGAGTTACTTGTTGAAAATATTCTTCACTTTGATTTATATTTTTCTCATTTTCTTCATGCAAATTATTCAAAGCTGATTTCAGTTCTTCAATCTGGAAATTCAATTCCATTCAATTCAATTCTCAATATGAAAAATGACCCAATGACTACTTAATTAAGGAGAAATAAGATTTATCTAATATGATATCATTATACCTTTAAATATGTGGGTTAGACGAGTAGGTAGACTTAAATCAATTTCAGTTTTTTGATGACGAAAACGATACAATTAGACCAGTTAGTTGTAGATTTTCAAATAATTTAGTTCAGAGATAAATAACACAAACTTCAAGTTTGAAAAAGGTACCCAAGCTAATGGAGTAACAGAATAAGTTTACAAAACATTGGTAAACTAATTACTGAAAGAGTGCGGAAAAATAAGCAGGGCTAGTCAGAAAGGACAAAGAGTGGAACCTCTGCCAATTGAGTTTTAATCCTGCTTCAATGTATGTTAGTTATTGCTTTATGTTGAACTTTTCAAGCATGTAAAGAAACTCATGTCACACTTTGAAAACCCCCTCTAAACTAACATATATCCTGAATGTGTATTGAAAATTTTAAGAATTAATTTGCTGGCGTTGTAGCAAAACTAACATGTTGTGGTCAATAAAAACCGAAAAAATGTAGCAAGTAGAATCCCCATGCTCATTCAAGTATGGCAGCGGATAAAACTACAGTAGTTACTGAAAAAAAAAATTAGGAAGAGTGGACTACTACTTGGATGGAAACTGGATGTTCATTGTTATGTGTTATGAAGAGTTCAATACTGCAACATCGTTAAATATTTTTAACATGGCATGGACCTAAAATATATTAGGCTATAAGAAAAAATTTCAGCTTGCATTCCAATTTGTGTAGTGCAATTCTGAAATAAACTATCGATAATTTATGAAAAATTATGTTTTCAAAATATATTATATCGTGTTTAAGATTAAAATATTGTTAATATAAATATTATCTAAAAAGATTTCAATTTGTCTTCTAAAAATATTTAACCCAAAAATATTCTGCAAATCGATATACTACTTGACAAATCCACTTCACGTTGAAGAGTCATATTGGACTCAACTGAAGTGTAATTGATAACGTACCATTTAGAAAATGCTAGTTGCAAAACAAGGTGCATAAATGATATGTGGAAAATATATTGGAAACGAATGTGTTTCGAACACCAAACAAAAACCATTTTAATTACCTTCTTTCTACTTGAAGATTCAAGCTGTTGAAGTTTATCTTCTTTTAAATGTAATTCCTCACTGTCTTCAGCTATTTTTGCATTTAAGTGTGAAACCTATAACAATAGAATAAGAAAATTAGGCCCATACCAGGGTTTGTTTACTGCATTGCTATGGCATCTGCTAGCATCAGTACAACTCTAACCCTAACTACCCTCAAATTTCCTATAAACAATCTTGCATAAATATATTATTAACAGTCTTTTGCCACCTCACCACCGACAAAAATGATATATATCATTCATCTTTACTCATGATACAAATTACAGCTCGCAAAAAGTAAACAATCACCCCATAAACCATTCTTATAATGTAAAGAATATTAAACGCGGCAATAAACTAACGTAGACATACCTGTTGTTCAAGTTGATTAATTTTTGTTGACCAAGTAGATTTAATATTATTTAATTGTTGATGTGACTCCTCAAGACGATTCTCTAACGATGTCCTCTGTATTGCGTTAATAAATGAATGATTAAAATTACAGTGACTGAAAAAATTGTCACCAATGTCTAAGAGTATACCATAACTCAAAAATAATTGATGAGATTATAAAATGTACTAATGCTTAATAAATATTAAATAAATGAAAAGAGTTGGTAAATTTGAGCATAAAAACAAGCGACGTAAACTCAGGGCAAGCGTGATAACAAACATAGGTATTATTAAGAACATTCCTAAGTATCTGCACTAGTAAAATCGAAAAGCAGTTACCAAGAGGATTAATTTTGACATTAATAAAACAAAATAGATCTTTTCTAATTGATTTCGGTCTGTTGGTATTATTAATAAAAACCTTGCTTGCTGTGAAATTCAAAATGGATTCAAATTCAATGATACCTATCGAATAATAGGATCACGGACCATTAGATATACAACAACCTTTGAAAGTCAATGAAACATAAAATATAGCTCATTCTCAAGTATGTAGGTAGAATGGCTAGTAAATGGAATCAATAGGAATATGATGGAAAATTATTGCGCAAATAAGCCTATATCAAATTAATATGACCATACAGCAAACCTAGAAGAAACTCGAACAATAGGTTCATGATGAAAATACCTTCTTACCTCAGAAATTAAAGCTTGAACTTGTTCATTTTCAGGCAAATTATCTGTTGTTATCCTCTGTTCTAGAGATGAAATTTTTTTCTTCAAATGATTGATGACAGACTCCTTTTCATCTAATTCAGTTGTTGCCTGATTACAAGTGAAATGTTTCATTAATCATTTATCACCAAACTCCTCTTCTCTGTGTGTGAATGAGAAAATATGATTTGTGCAAGTGTATACCATGTGATTCACAAAAACAACATAGATCTCAGAATAACTTGTATGAAAATATTTATATTTATATATGAATTGTATGAAAAACTTGAAAATTTTCCTCCATATTTGGATAAATATGATTCCTGCTGATCATGGTTTCAATTGTTCTTAGTCAAGCAATTCACTAGCACCTTTCCCCCTACCCACGACTGTAGATTACTATGATTTAATTCCGCTATAGCTTCCACATTCAAGGTACTCATAGTCCTAATATGTTTATTACATTAGGTAACAATTGGTGGGCAGGAAATCGAAACCTGACCTGCAATGCTAATTGCTAACATAGCTAGGACCAATGCACTAACCAAAAAGGGTACTAAAGCATTTTGGAATCTTTGGGCCGGACGGTAGTGCAGTGGTCGCACTAGTAAAAAAGTAAAATGGGAAAGGTTTCAAAGCCAAACAACCATCACAGCCTAGTTAGCGTGGCCAAGATTTTGTTGAAAATTTTGCACTTATTAACCACGTAATAAACTTTTTAAGGAGCCTTTAATTTGTAATTAAAACTAATGCGAACGTACTTGGTACATGTGGCGGTACAAAGAGTGAAAAACCAAACTTAGCGAATCACATCCATCGTTAGCTTGAGCAATTTTAATGACGCAATAAAATAACCGGATATGCAAGAATGAACATGACTTGGAATATGTATGATCATTTGATATATGAACAAAAACCATTAATAAGCAAGAAATTTATATGTAATGTTGGATTTATAGAACTTTTTTGCGTATCTCTGCCCATAATTGAAATTTATTGGAAGCTCACGATTGCGCCGCGGCCAAAAGTTTGCCAGCCACTGCTGTAGTGAAATCGATCTTATACGACATCTGTTATTTTAGGATATTTATCAGCGAGATTTTCAAAGAATCAAATATAGAAATGTCCTCAACATATATATAACCAATGTTTGACATGTCCTCGTTTGCGGTGACATATATTATGATTCCGAATACCGGTATTAGATTATGTAGCCCGATTGCATTTATGCACAATAATATTGTTTTTTCTTTCAATTAAGTAATGTATTTTGGTTGGCTATGTGACTATGTCTAAAAATTTTCAAGTTTTAGAGACAAGTTAATTTAGAAGATACATGTTTCAATTAAATATTCTGATTCCCGATTGTGTGAAGGAAGCATTTCGCATCTTGAATTCACATCAACAAAATAGCCCATTACTGATTATTGTGCATGAAAATAGAATAAGAATTGGCCGTGCCAAAACGAGCAATACAGTTTTCTATAGCAAGAGACATCATAAAACGAACTACAATTTTTATAACTTAACTAAACAACTAAAATAAAGATCATGCATTTGTTAAATAAATAAATGAGGTGGAACTGAATTTAAGTTTTTTGAAGAAAGGAAAAAGATGTTGCCTAGGTATTAATTACTCAAGTTCAGCATCACTAATGGTGATTTACACCAACTATGAAGTAACGCTATTTACATAATAACACCTATTAGTCATTCAGTATGCTATAACTAATGTCAACAGAGAATGATCGCAAAATAGAATATAGAACATCTAAAATAAAACAAACCTTATTCATAATAGCATCGCTACTGTGCCTTAGACCTTGGTATTTTTCGCAAACACTGGAGTGCGTACTTTCCAAGGCAGAAAGGCTGCTACGAGTCTATATACAGAGAAAATGACTAAATTAGAGCTTTGAAGAGAAGAATAGGATTTTCAATTCCAGATATTCACCAAATAACGGTTCAACTATTCCCATACTCAGCATGAAATGGTAACAGAACCAGAGGATTTTATCATCTTTCCTGTACCCGAGGATGAATATAAAAATCCTATCCTATTTTAATTAAGAAAGATTGATACAATATGATGTAAGAATTGAAACACACCTCAACTATATTTAAACCAAGTTTTATATATTTGAAAAACTGACTACAGAATAAGAAAAGTTCTTTAGAATATCATAAAGAACTTGAGGTGAGGTAGTCTGAGACTAGACAAAGAAATAGGATGAAGGTCTACTATGCTTGTAAGTAACAAACCAAATATCAGTAGGTAAGTTCAATATGTCAAATATATAACAGGTAGTTCGGAAAACAGTTCAGCATTCGAGAAAACGAATTTTATTTTAAAAAGCCAGATGTTTTAAATTTTAGATTTGTTATGATTATTATATGAAAATTATGCGGAAAAAAACGTTAAAGAACATTAAATGTCTGAATTATAAAAAAATATTCTTTCAAACATCAAAATATTAGCTGAACTTTTACCTATTCCTAGTGGAAAATATACAAATGATTGAGTATGACACATTTAGAACTAAAACTAACTTTTTTGAGTGCTTATCAAGCAATTTAGATTTACCTTCTTTAAATCGGTTGTCAAGTTTGAAATTTTGTCTTTACATTCCGAATATTCAATCTTCAATTTTGAAATAATTTCTTCTTGCGATGCTGCTTTTGAGACAAATTTTTTACTGAAATTATGAACAAATCATGAAGTTAAAGTTGACAGAGATTCTCAATCTTATCGACCCAAGTAATTCGACACCAAACTAAACGGTAATATATTGACTACACTTATAATTTACAAGTAGCATCATTTTCCAATAAACCATAACCCCTCAGAATGTTATGAATATTCACCAAGCATAGATACCCAAAGTAATCAAAGTTACTTAGAAAAAAACAATGTTAACGAATATGATAAAGCTAATCCGCAGGAGCGTTTTGCTGTGAAACAAGTAGTAACTGTGATAGCATGGAAAATCGCTGCACTTTGTGCATGCACATTTTGCTGTAAAATAAGTAGGCTAGCCTATTCGTGATAAAAACAGTTAGGTTTATTGAAAGGTTAGGGTTAGGGTTTGCTCTTGAATAACGAATTTCTTTTAAATAAAAAGGTACTTCAAAAACCTAACTGTTTTTATTACAAATACTTGTTTTACAGCAAAATGCTCAAAATGCGGTGGAGTTTCCTGCGACGAGATTTCCTTCGAGATTTTCCTGAAACCGTTAAGATCAATTAGCCAACCTTTTTTAGAAATGTCAACATTATTAAAAGCCTGAAATTCAGACTCCGGGGAGTTTGGAAATATAACTCTATCTTCAATGAACGCATGCCAATATTTGATTTCACAGCCCTGATTATAATGCAAAATAATGATGTATGTTAGACAATCTTCTTTGATGAACTGTACCTTTTTTCAATCTGAATTTTCAACTCTTGACTTGTAGAATTGAGAGATTCTGTTGTCGTTCTCAAAGAAACTTCTAATTCATCATTATTCTCCCGACATTGCATTAATTCAGCAATTTTTTCATCGAGTGATTCCTGTTGACGTTTACATTCTTTTTCACTGTTCATCAACTGAATTAAAAAAAGCGGTATAGCTTGTTACTGGAGAGATCATGAGTGTTGGTTTACATTTACAAGAAATTATCACACTGACCATATGCTTGACTTTAGCCATTTCTTGCATTTGTAGATCATTTAATTCTTCATTGTTATCTCGTTTAGCGAAAAATTCATCTCTGTTTTTTTCAAATTCTTCTTTTTCACTTTTCCATTCATCAATAGACGATTGAAGTTTTTTATTTTCCTGTTTTAAATGGAATAAAGCAAATTGTAACCACATACATAATATTTATTGAGCACCACTCCTAGCTATTCCGATATCCCATCAGGTCCTATCTCTAGCATGAAATCGAAAAATCTATCATGTCTATTCATCATATCAAACTTATTATTAGAATGAGCATAGTTAGGCTACATATCAAGAAAATACTTCTTGAAAAAGCTACTACATTTTATATTTGAACAACGATCATGCTCTTTACCGGAAATTAGTTCATATAGATAATTTAATACAAATACACATATATAAATGGAAAAAAAAATTTTAAGATTCAAGAAAAAGTCAATTTTGCTTGAATTGTAAGTTACATATAAAATTAGTTTGTAAATGAAAACCTACCCTACTTAAAGTTTCAACTGTTTCTGTTAAATCACTTTCCCTTTTTTCAAGATGAGAAATATTTTTCTCCATTTTCTTTTTCCCATCTGAATACGTTTCTTCCAATTCTGTCATTCTACGCATCGCTGTGTCTTGCTGCTTTTCAAGTGTTATTATCAATTTATCTCTCTCTTTTGTGCATTCTTTTAAAGATTGTCCATAATCTAGATGCAATGAGAGAAGAGTTGATCAGTAAAGAATGTAAGGAACTATCATCCAATAAATTATCCCAAAAAATATATTACCGGTACTATAGTTCAGTACTATAACCAGGGCTGCCATAACGTCCTTGTTTTGTTTTTAGGATTTATCCTTATTTTGAAGGTTTTTGTCTTAGAAAATATTTTTGTCCTTATTTCTAAGAAACGTCCTTATTTTGACATGTGTGTATATTTTATGGGTAGAGGTTCTAATACCAGGCACTTGGATTGGTCAATTCGATGAAATTTTACAACCTCATTGATTGCTACACGCATTCATTACGTAATAACAGCAAATCAATTGACACCATGACAAAACAATAGCCTATCGGTCATAATCAGTGTGTGTAACTTAAATCAAAATACAACATGGAGGTGATATGGAACAGATTGTTTCTAAGAATAAAGAATTGCTGAAGCAAATCCTTCTTAGTGCAAAGTATAATTAGACATGTGTCGAACTGGCATGAATAATTTTGTTTATTACATTTCGTTCTTTGCTATCCTATTATTATGTTTCTCTGATGTCCTTATTTTTGAGTTAATATTGATAACAGATCAACCAAAATAACTTTTTTTAAACACAAAAATAATAAGTGAATTAGAACATTCAACTCTTTAAAAATGATAATAGTGGGTCCAAATTTCTGATCTGTGCAAGAGATACATTTTTTCATCAATATCAGAAAAATAGAAATAGAAAAAAAATTGCCAGCTCCAAACTTTCAGTAAACCGAATTGTGAAACATTAAGCATAATCAAATAGAGAAAATCGCTACAAATAAAGCATTTCAATCTCTTCTCTCAAGAACTTCTCCAAATGAATTATTAGCCTAATGGCAGGCATCATGAAATGTTACATAAATGCAATGCATATGTACAAATACAATATGTGACTAAATGGGATACACAACAATGACCATTTGTCTAGAGCAGTGCCTTTCAACTGAGTTTCCACAGAGCCCATAAACACTTGTCGTGATGGCATAAGTTTTGGGAATTTTGTAGGGTAAGCAAGTTCCTCTTTAAGTGGACGCCAAAAGTGTGTCATTTTCCCAATACTTATTAGTGTGAAACAGCATTTTCTGCTGCAACAACTATCAAGAATAAAAACAGAAGTCTCTTGAGTAGTGTGGATATGTGCATATTCCACCGAGCAACATATAGACACAATTAACTTCTGCAATACCTTTTCATTTATATTGTTGGAGTGTCCAACTCCGAAATATTTAACTTTCATACATTCATGGGTGTTTTTTGAATAAATGCCAATAGGGTTCTGTGATGAGCAATAGCATATCAACTACCAGAGTATGTCAGCTTTAATTTTCTAACCTGCTAACTTGATTTCTAATCGTTTCACTTGTGTCGTTCTTTGCAAAAGTGCTGCAAATAAATCTTCTTTTGATGAAGATTCAGCCGGCTGTAAACATGGAAAAATATTTTATACCAATGTTTTCCAATATATATTGGTTACACCCCCAAATAAGTTGGGGATCAAGTAAATCTAATATACACTGCTCACTTCGTAAGGTCTACATTGTCATTTCAAATAGTCAATACAAAAATACTATGGAGCAAATTAAAGTGAGTAAACATAAAAAAAATTGCTGGTTTATAATGCAAATATTTTGTTCTATTTAAGAAAAACAATTTTCTTGTTTTTAATCACAATCACAAGTATAGCTTTTTTGATCAATGGTTCACAACATTGATATACAACTACAAGGTTATTCTAATCTACTTTCAACAAAAAATTTCATTCCTAATTTCTGTCCATTAATAATCCCTACAAATGTATAAAAAAACAAAGTATTGACTGAATCGAACAAGCCGAACATAGCCTGGTAATTGAGACTAAAACTAACTAAAATTGACATAAGCAGCATCAAACACATTGAACTAAATATATCTGTATATGGCAGTGGTTCTTTTTTGAGCGCAACCCAAATTTGAGTTTTATGAATACTCGCGACCCAATCCTAAACATCGCAAAAATGCATTTTTAATGTTAGAACTGTTCGACTCGCATGCAGACAACGATTTATTAGAAACAGCCCATTGAGTGTGATTGGTGAAACTGAAATTCCTTTTTGATTATATCTTCAATACACCTACGAAACTCTATATTAATGAGGGCAATGCGCAAGTCGTCACTAGAATCGTGGTAATTGTCGAAAATCCAAGCTCGCACAGATACATGGTAGCAGAAAAGCCGTTGCTCCGTTTCCAATAACCTATACCGCTGTCCGTCGCAAACATGACATTCTACCTAGGCCTTGGGCTCTCTCGCAATATACAACTTTTCACTCATCAAATATGCAGACAGTGCTTCTTTTGCAGTAAATGGTACCTCGATCTGAAGCCGATTTCTCTCTAGATCTATAATCAACACAACGACAAGCGGCATGTATGGTTACAGAACAGACACCATAAAACAAGACACGTGACTGGCATATATAAATTGTGATGCAACAATGCGATCAAGACAGTTCTTACTGTGAATGGAATTTTATATTGTTTTGAATATCACAAAGGCAAGTAGCTAAATTGAGAAGCCGCCTCCTCTTAGATTGCCTTTGCATTGACGACCTTGGCGCGACCCATTTTTAGACCTTCCGTGACCCGTGTTTGGTCCAAATCGATAAAGCAGAGCCAAAATATAATATTTGATGTTATCAACTTTCATCTCCCAAATACAAATTCTATACTATTAACGTTCAAAAATTATATGATTTTGTTTTCTCACCAAGTCAGCTTCTGATCCTGATAAAGACGTAGAACTATCGACTCTTGATAATCCTGTTGTACTTTTCCACATTGAGCGACCTGGAATGGTATATGAAAATTATATTCTTAGTGCTAGTGGTGGCATTACTCACATATTCGGGGAAAAAAGTATTTTTAAAATATATCTATCCTTTCATGGTATGTTTTTCTTATTTAATATTGGTTTTGTCACCAGAAAATTTCTAATCCCAATTGCAGAATTGAGGAATGTGTGATATTAGATTCTGGAAAATATAGGCATTGTATTGCATATAGGCATACACTTACTGACTCATAACAATATAAGTATTTTAATTAATACAGTAGTATGGTCAGAGACAAGGCAGGTCGTCTATGTAAATAGTGTGCTAGAACCAAAAGCAGAAAAGAGCAAATCAACATACTGGCATAACAGCATAAGGGATATGTATACCTCGAACAGGCATGCTTTGTCGTCTTATCCCAGCAGGTGATAAGGATCTATCTTTTTCAGGGGAATCACTCCCTTCAACTTTCTGTTTCAATTTTTTAAACATTTTGGTCAGTCCTATAGCCAGTATAGCTGAATCACTGTATAGTGAGTATTGTTGAGAACTTGAGATGTTCTACTGTTTGGATGATGGCGTCTGGAACTATCGATGAATTCACAAAGACTTGTTGAAGCAATGAACGCTGGCAGTTCAAGTGCGAGAGTTGCGATGTATACACTGATCAATGCACTTACTGCAGTACTGACCTATCAACTTACAGTATAACCTATATCAGTATATTACATTATTACAGTATTATGTTCAATATGCCTGAAGGTTTCATTTCAATACCCCTCAAGTTATATGCCTACTTCTATATTCAAATATAAAAGTAAAATCAATTAATGTATGTTATGTATATTTAAGACCAAGTGTAGCCTGGTAGCACTGCCAAACTGTGTCTGCAGCAGGGAGAGCAGGACTGCAGGAGAGAGAGAAAGTTTATTGGGTATTTTTTCAATCAAGGTTTATTAGTTTATGTGAAATACAGTGCAGCTAATTCTTTAATAGGTCAGTCATAAAACAGTGCGATGAAAAGCCATCATAATACTGTACGGCACAGATTATAAGTTTATACCTGAATATATTATATTATTTATATGAAATTACTATGGCTTCGAAATGGGGCACAACCCAAAAGGCAATCTTCAGAATCAGACTTCCGAATTAGCAAAACTGTGAAGCTGCTGCCAGTGCCAGACACATCTCCATACTCTACAGCTGTCTACGTGTTAATTCAGGGTTGCCAGACCCCAGCGATCAAAAAAAGCCAAATCAAGACATAAAAAAGCCAACAATTTTACTAATTACAAAAGCCCCATGATTTGTCAGAATTTAAGCCCTTGGCAACGTACTGATGATGATATAGAGCCATTAGTTCATTCAGTGAGGCACACGAATAGAAAGTAAAGTTTCTATAGAATTGTAGAAAGTAAAATAAATATCAAGCGGACAGCATTATTTTACCATTCCATATATACAATACAGGGTGCCGCTTCAGTCTGTCAGTATGTAATATACCTACATGTTTCTACTTAAACTTGTGATATACCTTGAGAAAAATTCTTCCTATATCGTACTTTACTATTGAAAATGTTTTCACTTTTAAAATTTATAAACCATCAATTTTATTAAAAAATTATCTAACCCCCTGCCGCAGCGCCGCTCACAGGTGGACCACTGATATCTTATTCAGTAATTTTTGCAGAAATAAACTAAAGCTTACATAAACCATATCACAGTATCAGGCATAATGAAAATTGAGTTATACAATTATTTTTTGGAAACAGAACGTAAAACTGACAAATAACACGCAAAACTATAAAAACGAGGCAATGTTTACAACCCTGCTTGAACATTTGTCTGAGCAGCTGCAGAAACTGCAATTATTTCTTATTGGGTATGGCGGTACCGGTACGGTACGGTACGTTAGTCGTTGGGTATGGCTAAGAGTTACGGTAATGCTGTAATGTAACAAACAAGGAAATCGATGCTCCAGGAAATCCTTATGTTAAGTAGCTAAGTACAGATAATAGGCTATGGTATTTCATATGATTCTAATAATAGACACTAGAATAGACTTGAAAAAAGCCCCAAAAAACGCCAAAAAGCCAAACGGAAATTCTGACGCCAAACGCGTTTGAAAAAAGCCAAAAATGGCAAATTTGGTGTTAAAAAAGCCAATATGGCAACCCTGCGTGTTATACCGGTGGCGCAGCCGTAGCATATCATCAAAGCCTGAATGTCAAGTACCTACCTTTCCACCGCCAGCTGCCGGTAGAGACGAGAACGGCTTTGACATATCCGCTTCCCAAACTTGCACGCTGTAAGGGCCCGTTCACATATGTTCACACCCGGTATGCGTTAGTTTGGGCAATTTGCAATCAGCTTGACGATATCTTTTGAGGAATTCAAACCTTACTCTGGGTTTTGTTCGCTTTCCCGATTCTACAATCAGTTACTTTTACTTTTGTTTTTATCTATTTTTTTTATCGTCTATTGCTGATTATGGAGTCGAAATAAACTTAAACTTCACTGTTAATACAAGAATACCGGTACTGTTATTTTCGGCTGCATTTGACTTAAAATGACTGTCCTCTCCAGTCCCCGAAGTGCGAGATAAACTTACCCCCTATTCCCATTTCCTCGCCAACCTCTATCCACGCATTTTCCTTAAAAAATTTGTTCTGGTAATCTACCGCCCCAACCGCCCACAAACAATCCTTCTCCCTAACCAACTCTATTAACTTCGCAACTTCCATTTTTCGGGTTTGGGTATTTGCTAATTGGTTAGGTTTTCGATAGTTAAATTTATTCTGCAGATGACACGAAATTTCCCCGCCATTGTTACGTAACAAATGAACCGTAGCACGCTGCGTTAACGCATTCGAAGTATGAACACCCTTAACGCAATTGCGTTGGATTCCGTTCCCAACGCAACGCAAACCTATGCGTCAGTGTGAAAGGGCCCTAATTGTCAATAATATTAAATACGGCAATCATATGCACATATTGCTTTGGACTCGCTGCAGCTATACCGGTATCATAAAAAATGTGATGCAACACACTCCAACCACTTTTCAGCACTCTACGGTAGTTACACAATTTTGAGTTGTTGTATGCAACATGTCATTGTCATGTTTAATGTCATTGTTGATGCATGCTTCAGGCCAGGGTGAATCAAAGTGACGTTCCCCTACCCAAGAGGAATTCCATCCTCCGGAGGATTTTTGTCGTTCGTGGCAATGATATACATATGCTCATACATATGCTCATTGTTCGTGGGGAGGGATTTTCTTTGTATTTTCTGTAGTATTGCCAAAATTCTTCAGTAGAATTATAACTATAATAAAACTTAGTTATGCACACAATATTAACTAAATAAACTGCACAAAAGCGGACGTGCGACTTGCGCATAACATTAGAACAAACAAAATATCGTGCCTACTTTTTCTACATGGTGGTAATTGAGTGCTCCAAAAAAGGCGAAGGAGGATTTTAACAAAAAAAAAGTTGGGAAGGGGTTAAAGCAAGCATAATATGACGATGAATTCATGCCGTGTTCTGATATAAATTATACCGAGTATAGGGTGAGATTTATGGATTTCCCTATCTTTTAACAGTATTTTTTAGAGTTTGCGCCTACAAACTCGTATAGCCTACCTGTTCAAAACTTTAATTTGAAAAAAAAAAAAATCTAACCACATGTCGTTTACATGTACAGTGACAATACCATTGATATCATTATTTGCATCAATTAGGAACAGATTCGCAATGAATTATGTGTTATTCAATGTCGCAGAGTAGGCTACCGAAGGAGTTTTCAAATGTTGCCACATATGAGAATCAGCACGGAATAGTTGATCAGGGGTTTAGGCAGACCTGCTCATATCACACCGAATTCAATGCAGCGGCCACCAAAGTTCGTAATTTGCTAGGCCAGTGGCTTCGTGCTTGCATAGGGCCAGGTCAGGAGCGTGTCCTGCTACTGCTATGATGACAAGCAGTACAGCGTGTAAACATCTCGCCGAACCAAAAGCGGCGGATACCAAAATTTGTAGTCTGCTAGGCCAACAATAGCTTCGAGCGAATGAGTCTCGAAGAGTAACTTTTTGGAGCTTTGGTACAAACCCCCCGCCAACTCTCAAAACGAGAAAATTACTTAGCCTACTTAGTTGGGAATGAAAATTGCACTAGAAATTCAAATCATTTGTAACCCTAACTCCAACTGGGTAATTACTAATTTGTTATTTTGAAACGATCGAAACAAAAGGAATGAATTCATATCTAAGAAATATGAAACTTTCAACATAAATAATTTTGGTATCCCAGGTATGAGTTCATTATATATCAATGAAAATCTTACCAATTATCGGAATAATCTGCTGTATAATGCTAGAGTGGCAAAAAAATCCAGAATGTATGAAAGTCTCTGGACCACAAATGTGAATATCTACATGAAAAAAATCTAAAGATAGCCCTAGAATTCCTATTACAAAGCTGTCTGACTTAGAAAAGTTAGTGTAGATTGACTTTTTGTATGGGCCTGTGTTATTGATATTAGGTAATTAATTTGGCAAAATGGCTTCCCAGCAGTTTTGCTGCATATGTTCCAATATCATGCTTTATAGTTGTAGTATAATTTGCCCTGATTGCTTAAAAACATTTTCCCCTTTTTCTTCTTGTCCATGCATAATAGACAGAGAATCGGAATCAGATGCCATTCTTGATATTTCAGATTTTGATTTTTACAATGTTAAGCCATACTTGTCAATTGAGAGTTTTAGCGAAGTTCGAAATGTCTTGAATTGCTCTGGTACATCAAAAAATCAACTAACTTTAGCTCACTTCAATATTCGTTCAATTCAAAAGCATATTGATGAGTTGTCAAACATTATATATGAATTGGAATCATCCCCCACCATAATAGCACTTTCCGAAACTAAACTTAAAAAAGACCTCATAGTAAATATTGATATAAATGGTTATGATTTTTTCCACACACCAACAAAACTTAATGCTGGTGGGGTTGGAATGTATTTTAAGTCCCATCTTAATCCTACTCTGATTCATAAATATATGTTGGATGTCACTGATTGTGAGCAGCTTTGGGTGGAAATACCCACTCATATTGAAAATTCCTTGCCAAATATTATTGGTGTATTGTATCGACATCCTGGACCTAATCAATCATCTTTTATGAGTGCACTCAGTAGTACACTCTACAATTTGGTTTTTGATTAAAAAAAATTATAATTCTAGGTGACATTAATATTAATTTGCTGCGCTCCTCAAACTTCACAAAAAACTTTCTTGACATGCTGAAGTCCCATGTCACAGTTCCATTGATAACACACCCGACGAGAACAACTAGCTCTACTTCTACCTTATTAGACCATATGTATTCCAATATATTTGAAAAAAATATATTGTCATTTGTATGGCAGACATGTTTGACGGACCATTATTCTATTTTTTGCCAAGTTCAACTTAATCATGCTCTGCCCCTGCACCAACATAAATTGAAGCGCGATATGAGCAAATTTGACTCAGACAACTTTGTTAGGGATGCCCAAGAACTCATTCACTCCTATGAGATTCCTAGGACAATTAACACTGAAAACTTCAATTCATATTTTAATAATTTTGTCTCCAAAGTCATGAGTGTGTGCAACAAGCATGCGCCACTCAGAAAATTAACCCGTAAACAACGCCAACTTGAGAAAAAACCCTTGATCACCTCGGGCATTCTACGCTCAACTAAAGTGAGAGATAAGCTGCATAAATCCCACTTTATTAACGGTTCAAATGAACAAAAACAATA